TATCCACAAACAAATAGACGGACAATCATCGCAATATTAAAATATGAATGAGAATCATTTTTTAACCCTATACTATTAATTTTTAAATTAGAAAAAAACAAATGGCGCCATCTAGCGATGAAAAAAGGAACTATTCGAGGACAAACTTGAGCGTTTTCCCGAGAGAGGCGCTGTACAAACTCCGACGTTAGTTCGGCCTTTTCACCGCCAGATGGCTATTCACTCGAGCGAAATTAAATTGAATTTTATAAACAAATTACGCGTTTGTTGTATCGTCTGACATAAAAATTAGTTAATATTCACGTTCCCCCATATCTCCTTCGTTAAATCGCAGGGGTGTTGCTCGTATTTATTGAATTATAAGGCGTTTTCGGAGCTTCCATTGTAGTACGTGCCCACGTTTGCATAGGATAAATTTAATCATCGAGCTAAACGATTACTCAAACTTTGATTTTACGTAGTATGTTGATCTATCCGTGACGAGGATACCAAATTTTTCCCGTATGGATCTTTTCAAATTACGGACGATACGATAACAGGCCCATATTAACAAAATGAAGGGCAGAATAAGAACGACTATCGTTCCGTAGTAATCGACGAACGAGATATCGCGACCGTGATAGCGCAAGTGTCTTGATTTCGAAAACTTGATCACGTGCTCCACGTTCCAAATAGCTCGGTCCATGGGTTTCACCAATTCGTCCTTCACGATCTCCGACATCGCCTTGATATTGTTATAGTATCTGCAACAACCGGTACTTGTATTTACCTTAAACATTCATCGGTAAAGAACCCAGAAAAGAAGAAGAAGGAAACTTTCCACTCTGATTGAACCGTCCCGAAAAACATCCCGAACTCGGGAGCTCGACAAGCTCGGGAAAGTCGCGTGGCGGATTTACTCACGTTTTATTTTCTACAACATCGGTGATCGCTCGTACGATTGACTCGTCGGTGACGGTATCGATGTTCAATGCGAGTCCGATCCCGGCGTCCAGGATTTTACGCGCGTTGAAAAGTTGATCCCCGAAAAAGGGAATGGCGACTACCGGGACAGAATAGTGCACCGCCTCCTGCAACGACTGCAATCCTCCCTGCATCACGTAGGCCATCACTTTCGGATGTGCTGCATATAAAAGTGACACTGGTATCCTGCGTCTCTCGTGTCAAAGCGTAGCAGGACTGTTTCCTCTAGGCTGAGCTATCTGTCTTCGAATCCTACGCGCGTTAAATCTCATCTTCGCGGATGACGCCGAAAACTATTCCGTCGTACTATTCTTTCACGAGTCTAATCAAAAAACGCCTTTTATTAATCTCCATATCGCAAGTTGTAGATTATCGTTGGATTTTCTCTTCCTAAAAGAGAAAGTTTTTCCTTGCGAGACACAAGTCGAGAGGGTGCAGCTGTGTCCCATCTTGATTTCTTTAGACCAAGTATGGGATCGATAGGGTCTATGGTTACGTGACGAAATTCTTCGTCGCTGACCTCCCATTCATTCGAGCCGCTTCTTTCGTGTAGACAAGACTAGAGCTGTTCGAGTACTCGGAAAAGGCGAGCCGAGTTCTGCTCGGATCGAATGGCCGGTCCGAGTCGAGTACTCGGAAGAAACGAGCAGCTCGAAGGAATCGAGTAGCTCGGACAGAAGCGAGCGGCTCAGAGAGAAGCGAGTAGTAGCTCGAAAGAACCGAGTAACTCGGACCGAAGCGAGGGCCTCGGAGTAGGCGGATTCACGTTGTCGAAACGTGATGGTCTGTATCGTATAGTCTGAATCGACCTTTACTCGGTTCTTTCGAGCAACTCGCTTCTGCTCGAGAGCTACTTGGTTCTTTCGAGCTACTCGCTTCTCGACTCGGAACTGGCATCGAAAACTGGGTCTCAGCTCGACTCGGCTCGCGAGCAACTCGAAACATCCGAGTTTTCTGCAGGCCTAGACAAGACGTCCACTTCCTAGTATTTAAAATAAAGTTTGAAAGTTAACGGTAAATGGAAAGTCTAGCTCGTTCATTCCACCGCCTATATACCCGATAATTATAAAGAGACTCAATGAAGCCACGTTAAAGTGTTGGTACGTAATCCGATGAACGGTCAACTGTTCTCGCCAGCCACACAATACGTTCTCATACGAGGAGATCACCAGGCCCCGAGCTGAACGGTCGCTTACAAATTAAATAGCCGACGATAACGATTCCGAGTATCGTTCTCCCATAAAATGTTCGCGTTTGCCCGTCAACGAAGAGAAACTGGCGATACGTTGAATGGAGTAACCGAGTAACGGTGTCTGGAGCGATATCGTTATTACGGGTCGTCGAGAGGGAACGTTTTTCGGGGCGTCCAGAGGTGCGGTTTCATCGGAGGGGGTGAGGAGAGGGAAAAAAAATAAACGAGTGCGTCCCGTTGATCCGGAGAAACACCGATCCGTGGCGATTCATACCGAAACGAAAAGATAACTCATGACACGCCGGCGGAATTCTCCCGGGAAATTCTGACAAACAACTCCGCATCGTTCGCGGTAACGCCCTGACCCGATGCAAATGCAAGCGGGCGCAAACTTTCGTACACATTGACAGACAGGTTACCGCTTTCGGTCCCCTCCGCCGCCCTTGCCGCTCCGCGCGCACAGTAGAAAAGGTATTAAAGGCGAGAATACGAAATGTAACGGGAGAGCGCGATGCAAATAATGAGAATTTCAATTCAATTGCCTATTACGTACGGGTTTACGTAGTTCCGGAATTTGGCGCCCCCGACACTCGGATTGCAACCGGAAACTTTCCTGCCGACGTGGAGCGTTTCACTTCCCCCCCCCCCCCCCCCCAGGATCGTTGACAACGTTTAACGCCGTGTTCCACGACGAGCAGTCGTTTCCATCTCGCTTAGAGGGAGGACGGCGTCTCGAATAACTTTAGGAAAATTCGAATCGATAAAACTGGCTTAGGCTCGATGATACGTATTCGAGGTTTAGGTGAGCGCTTTTGTGCTCTATTTCGAAACGGGAAACCGTGCTTTTACAGGGCCGGGATCGTATCTGGAAGAGTTACATCGGAAATGTACTTTAAATGTACTTCAAATACCGAAGAATGGTCTCATGGTTTGCTCGGTTCCTGCTGCGATACGGAGATTAATAATATGGCATTTTGAAAGAAGATACTACTGTTCTGTATCCCGGAGCGTTGAATTCGACCGTGGCCAACATAGACATAGGAATATATTATAATATAATGTAATTCCATATTTGAAATTTTGCATTCGGCCGATAGTTTTGGAGCGCCGTATCACTAAGGCTGGTACGCCCTGTAGAGACCAGGCATAAGCTGGCAAGGGACGTGGTGCGGTATGAAGCCGAGGGGGGAGGCCCGTCGACCATCTTACGTTGTCAATTTACCAGCAGAAAGTTTAAACAGGACTTCATGGAACACGTTTCCTAGACTACGGACGCTATACAGATATCTAGCAGTCTCGTGAATTCGCAGTGGCAACGTAACATGGCGGACATGGCTTCGCTCTGTGTTCTGCTATGCTCGGTCCCTGCGTTTCGTATGTCCTATGTAAGATATACAGCTTGTTGTCTCATTATAAAGCGAAAAAAAAAAATCGAAAAAAATGTTTAAACGAAACATACTCTATCTGAAGGGGGACATTCGTTTCTTTCGAATGGTGAATATTTTGCGAGATAATCCCTGTATATTAAAATAATCGTATTCATACGATTCGCGTGTTCTTTTTTTTTTTTTTTTTTTATTACCCAGAACGGCTTGCTGAGGGGCCCACTTGACAAACTTGACGTTGTCCGCGCGAATGGTCGCGTCTCCGGCGTCCTTCCACAGAACTTTTTGCTCGATGGAGCTCATGGCGTTGCGGAGAGCGTTGAGAGGGCCCACGGGCAGCTGATGGGTTTGCAGATTCGAGCCCAGGGAGAAATAGATCGCGCCGTGCGTGGCGCTGTCCAGGAACTCCTGGATGTCCTGCGAAACAGATCGAACGTTTCGACACCTTCTCGTGGATGTCGTACAATCGAATGGAGCGCGAAGTAGTAAGATAATGGTTCTCGCGGAGCTTTCACGGTTTACCGTTTCGTTTCGCGGGGGTTCCCCGAACCGATGATGTACGCGTGTCACGTGGAGTAGAGGGTGTATTGTTGCATTAATTGCAACGGTACGGTCTCGACGGTGGGTACGTTTACGGCGCCACGTGGATAACGATCACGTTTCGCGTTAATTCCACGTGACACTGGAGCACAATCGTCTAATGAACGGGGATTGCTCGGGCGGTCTTGCGATGCTTAAGAAACACGTTACAGCGTCGTCTACGCGACGATCGGTTATCGTTGAAGACGCTCGCGTTCGTAAATAACGCGAATAGGGATTCGGGGAACGATCGACGGGGCCCGAAAGAGGTCGAAAGGTGGAAATAGTTTTCGTGATGTATACTTTTTTGTTCGCGTGGCCAGATAAGGTTAGCAGAATAGTAATAGGTGGAACGAGCGAACCGGGCCGCGGTAAATAGCAATGACCTTTACTTTTGCGTCGCAATGGCGGGCCGTGGGTAAACTTTCCCCGGTACCGGTTACTCGAGAGAGCGTGCTACGTATTTTCCCCTGGAGAAATCATTCTCTATCCGCGATACAGGCCACCGTTACCCCTCTGGCCGGGCAAAACGACGCGAAGCAACGATCTACGCTCCGCGAGGAATGACGATCGTAATCGTTCACCGAATTTAACTCTCGTAAATATCGCCACTCGACCCTTCGAATTTCCCATAAATCACGGCTACTTTCAATACCGATCGAACTAGCTGTTCCCATAATTTACGATACAATCTGGCGATATTCTTACTCGGGCACATATTTCGACGTATTTTCTGACCATTCCAACATCCTATGTAAACGCCTCTCTTACGCGCATTAAAAGCATACCTATAAATTCTTAATTACCATTATTTAACGATTACTTTGACCAAGTAATTGAATAATCGACGGTACACTGATTCTCGTGTCACTTTGTTTCCGTCGTTCAACCAAGGATTCGAACGGGATAATCACCTTAGGCAAAGCTACGTGTTCTTCCGCGATCTGAAGGCTGTGGACTTCGATCACGTTCGGCAGCAGAGGCTTCGGATATCCGAACACGTGATTGTTTCCCAATATCACCAGACTGAAGTTTCGATCCATGTCCCGAACCGAGACGTCGCTCGTCCACTTGTCGACGATCTTCTGGGCCCTCGGCAAGTGCCAGTGATTGTAGTATATTCTCGTCCAAGTCGTGTAGAGAACGTTCCGAATGCGCTCGCCGATCGTCATCCTGTTCGTAAAGGGGTAGGCCATGTCTGGATTCAGCAGCGCGTCGTCAGGATTCCCTGAGAATAATTTATTATTAATAAGGGGGGACAGCTGCTTCGGTTCGGACTGTTTTGTACAACTTGGAACAGGCTCGAGGTGTAGCTATTATCGTTAAGGGCGAACCAAAAGTTCAGTTGTGTACTTTCAGTTCGTGCAATTTTTTGAAGTCGTTACAATTACTTTATAGGCGAGTGTTACGTATCATTTTCAAAAGCTCTTTCATATTTAATTTTGGGATACGTTAATTTACCGAGCGTTTAATTATTTTTCGTTTTGGTAAAATGATAGAAAAAAAGCGAAACTTTAATCCGAAGTAAATTATTCTTTGCGGGTACACGTTGTGAAAAATTTCGTCGTTATCGAAAGAAGCGTGCCACTTTTCTCCATCGTGGATAAAATTAACGACGCCTTCGAAATTAAGCGACGCGCCCTATAAGAACTTGGCTGCCTAGCTCGAGCAGGGCCTCCCTCTCCCTATTTCTCATCCGATGTTTAATCGGTACAAGTTAAACCACTACTGCGCGATCCATCCTTTTTCGCGAAGCTCGGCTTGCTTCCCGATTGCTGCTCGCACTTTCTGCTTTACAAACAATTTGCGTCAATTTCTGGCTGCGTGGCCGGAGTCAGTAGAATAGGTCGCCGCGGAACGTGCGTGGTCAGACGCGTTCCACATCGCTAGCCGTCGCGAACTACGGGGTTCGCTGGACCGGTATTCTTTTGAGAAACGCGAACACTCGGTGTGATAATTATTTTTTAAAGCGGAGGTTATAACTTTTCCACGTTACTATTCGAGAAATAAGGTGGATCCAGTCATACAGCCGGTCC